TATTTACACGTCGATATTATTTAATTATTTTATATGGAAAATACGCTGGAAGTAAATAATAATTTAAATGACAAATGTAGAAAAAGAACTTAATAATAAAAAATCGTATAGCTCCTTTTATAATCTTTAGTACACAGGGAAAGTGCGCCTAGCACCGGACATCTAAGATTTTCTCAAAATTGAAAGGAATCGAAAATGGGAATCAATAATATATTACTTTCAGCATATAGTTAATAAAGTATAGAAACAATATTCGTATAAAAATACGTAAATAAATAAGCGTTTAAGTGTTAAAATAAAAATATAAGGGTGATACCGAGATTATCGTCAAAGGTACATCGAATCCGGTTCGAAAGTAATATCAAATGAAAAGTATCGTCTATCTGAAGTCAACAAAAAAATCTAGCTTGGAACGATTCAACGTTTTAGAGAAAACATCTCCTCAACGTCCCAAAAGTGATTCTACTTTTGTTTATATGACTTTTAGAACTTTAATCGTGTTCGAACATGCTCCAAAAATTGATTTTAGCAAAATATGTTTAAAAATGTTTAAATTAATCGCCAAAGTTTTCAGACTTAACTAAAACCGCTCAAGAGACCCGGCATTAGAACAAAAGTGAACAATTAATCGAATATATCGAATAATAAAATCGATATCCTTTTAATTTCCCGTGAGTGTTTTCTTATTATTTCTTGACTCGAGACTTTCGAGTGAATAATGTTCAGATGGTGAACTCATTGAACCAATTGATTGTTCACTTTTTGCTCTAATGCTGCCAATGCTGGGTCTTTTGAGCGGTATATACAGGATGTCCCGAAATTTGCAAATCAAACTATTATAGTAAGTCTTCAAAAAATTAAGTAAAAAAGTTATTTATAAATTTTTATTTTAAGCAGTAGTTTTTGAGGTATAAGAGTATACCGCTGTATATATGTGTCTCACTCAATATACCGTCACTCATAAATAGCTTTTAATTGGCTGAAAGAAGTCGGAAAACTTACGTTTCACACAAAGACAAACACTTGCTTTTAAATGGGCACCGTAAGCAATTATTATATCATCTATTATCAGTTCGGGGATTAACAATGCCTAGTACAAGGCAGTATTCGGTACTTCCCCTACTAAAAAATACTATATAATTTATTAATATAAGTTATACTAAAGCAATATTACGAACGTATACTGCAATACTAATTTTAAGAAATGACCAATGTAATATTTTTTTCCATTTTAGACACTATTCAATCCATAAAACTTGCTCATACAAATGATAATTTTGTAAATGCAAATGCTCTTGTCATGGGGTGGGGAAGATCGCAAAAGCTTAAATACGATGAAGCATCGGTTATTGAAAATACTGAATGCAAACTATTCGGATTCCTCTATAACATAAATAATATCACTGAGAACCACATTTGCGCGGCCAAAAAATTGGGAGAAGATATTTGCCATGTAAAATAATCACAAATAATAAAATTATGTCCCTGTCTAGCAAGAGAATATCTACGGTCCGCACATAGTAGGACAAATAGAGAGAGAGAGAGAGAGAGAGAGAGAGAGAGAGAGAGAGAGAGATAGTTTCACAATACGCTGTCATTGACAAGTAACACAAGGAATACAATGTTGTAAAGAAGGGAG